CACGACTGTCATCTAGAGCTGTACGGGCCCCACCCATGGCTTCTATCAACTCCCCACAGACTTGATTTAATGTTTTTGTACTCATGGCAATACACTGCTTGACCTTTGCCCTACAGCTCCAGGCATATTTAGGTTACATCTCCTATGTAACAGTTCATCACAGCTTGCGTGTTTCATTTGACTTTGTTCGATGGAGAAAGAGGGGAAGAACGACTTAGCGACTGTCTCTCTGCCATTTGTGCGTTCGTGAGAGAACAGAGGAACTGAGTCCGTTTGTGGATCTTTTGTGAGCGGAGACCCAAAGCTGCCTTAGCTAAGCCCTTTAAAGCACCATCTGGCAGCCCGGGCCCCTGTGTCACCCTACTCACCAAGATTACATTCTCCTCTGGCCCTCCATCCCTGTCCTTTCTCCTCGCGCCATGCTTTTCACTCACAACCAAACACAAACAGCAGGTGACTCTGTCCAGACCGTGTACCCAGAGCTTTTGAAATCCTGCTTCCCCTGAAATTTTAAATTATGAATGAAATAAATGTCATCTGAGACTAAAGAGATAGAAGTTAATTGGATTTTTTTTTTTTTTCGGTTTCGAAACAATTGCAAGGCATTGGAGATTAAAAAGCATTTTAATTTTCTTCAACTTGAACACAAAGTTGGAAATGTACAGAGACCAGTTTGAATCTAAACTAAGTATTGGTGCTTCAGAATTTCACCTCCACATGTTGATGTCACCATAATGAAGAATGACTGGAACATTTTCTTCTTGTTTGTTTTGGATTATTTAAACCTGAACACATACAGATCAGTTTACTCATCCACTCTGGTTTAACATGTATGATGTGCCACTGGTCCAGGACGTAGACCTGGAGCCTCAGTTACAAACTAGGGCATGATGTTTGAAAGTCTTTGGTATTTAGCAGGCAGACAAAGTCTAACTAAGACTCGAGCAAAGAACGGCATTTTCAAAAGTATTGATTCGGGGCTTTTTTTTAGCTTCAAGAAAAACACGGGCATCTCTCTACATTTATTATCTTTGACTCTCCAAATGTTGTGGGAAATTATGGAAACAAATGAATTGAGAATGAATTGTTAGATCAGAGATCATTAATTTTGTTTTTCACTAAAAGTGCTTTATCAATTAATAGCTAACTGATAGAAAACACTAAATTAGCAAATCACCCCCAATGGAAAGTAATTTATTTTCACATACAGAACAAATTATGTTTCAAGAGAATGTTCTTTTTTCACAACAGGTTTTTTTTTCTTCAAACTATTGGTAAATGGTAAATGGACTTGAGCTTATAAAGCACTTTTCTAGTCTTCTAACTACTCAAAGTGCTTTTACATTGCAGGTCACACCTACACATTCACACACTGAACAACTACGTCAGTTCTATGTTTAATCCACATGGCCCACACGCCAAATGTCACACAGGCACATTTAGGGTGCATTTGGTCTGTTTGAAAAACTCTGGTGTGCTTTGTCGGGTAGTTTGTTTGGTTTGGAGGTGGTGTGAACGCTCAAACGAAATCTGGTGTGGATCAAAGAACCGAACGCTGGTCAGCTTGAAACCATGGGTCTCAGTTCGCTTCCAAGTGTACCAGAGTTCGATTCTCAGTCGTTGAGAATGCGATCAGGACCAAACAAGGGAAGTGAACCAAAATGCAATGCATTGTGGGTTGACTTTAGCCATCTATTAACGTGTCAAATGGATTTACTGAGAGTGGCTAATGTTAGCATTGCTAACAACACCAGCCTTCAGTCCTCTTTGCAATGTGACGTTAACGTGCACATGCCAGTTCTAAGTGTGGTTACACATCGCTCCAGTTGATATGCCAGTTTAACCTGACACTGACTATTTATTAATTTATCTCCATTTTATGGATCAAAATACTGCCAAACTGCGCCTCACTACGGGATGCCATTCTTTCATGGTCTTGTTGACCTTTCAGGTGATAGTGCAGCATTAGACTGAGCAACAGCCCCCAGCCAGTGGCATGTGGCTACAGTACAAATTTCTCCTCAATATTTTTTTTTCTTTTGTGTTTGTTTCTCAGATTACTCATTTTAAGCACAATTCTAAATCAGTCAGCAGCAAATCATAAACAATGGTGTATCGACTTTAACCAAAGGCTCCCAGTATGTCTTGACTAACAGTGCTTGTCACATTTAGAGCGAGCTTGTATAATAAAAGAGTTTGCTACCTAGCTGATGTGTTTTGATTCGGGGACACGCCTGTGGCTGACAGGTGCACATTGTGATGTCTAAGAGAATTTGTCAGCTTTGAATAAATCAAAACTCTGCTTTGGCAGAAACAGTTACAGTGGTTTTACAATTTCCGACTCCCTCGTGCTGTTCTCCAGTCCAAGAAAAGTCTGAAGTCAACAAAGTCACATTCAAGTCAAGTCTCAAGCTGACTCAAGTGCATCAAGCACAACCTGAGTGCTCATTGCCAACTCATTGCCCAGCTCTGGAAATGTACCGCCTGTGATGTTTTTTTTTAGAAAAGTCTTTTTTTGTGACAAATGTTTAAAACATCTACCTCCAAAAGAAAAAGAAAAAAGAAAAACCTTGAAGCGAGGGATTTCTGGCTGAACTCAAAGTTCTCCCAGTTACTGATGAATCAGAAATGCTGCTAAAAACTGAAGCACCACTTTCAAGCTCCTGCTGCATTACAATGACACACTATGCAGAGCTGCTCCAAAAGTGTTCTGTCACTTTTCCCTAAGCATGTAATTTTTAATACTCAGAGGTGGTTCAGACTAAAATAACTTCCATTTCCCACATCCATTAGATGAGACTAAACAGCACCTCCAGGTGATGACACAAATACATTTCCTGTCATTTTAGCAGGTCTCTTATAGAGGCTGTTTATGCGCGGTCTGATTAGCTGGAGGAATAGCCATGTGATTTAGTGTGGTGAGAAGAAGCAGGATGGGTTTTATAGGACAATGCAATAGGATATATTTACTCAGGAGACTTCAGTTATTAAGGTTTGTGCAGGCGCTGTGCGTTGCAGGATATGAGACATGCAGAGTTTGAAACGACTGCAGAGTTCAGCTGTTGTTATTAAAAAAAAAAACATACCAAACATGCCAAAAATATCTCATTTAATGTGTGAGCTTGTAGTGTGCATCATAGCAGATGGCCTGGAGCGATAAACAACAATGGAGCAAGGAGGTGTAGTGAGAACCCCCTGCATGTTTGTTTAAAACTATGAGACTAACGTTTGTGAGTAATGGCCTGCCATGAGTAAAGACGAGGTAATTTCATTTTGTCAGTATGCAGAAAATGGGACAAATATTTGATTCACAGGGTTTGGACAATTCAGCCATGTTGGAACATCAGTAACCAGCAGCAACACGTTTTGGACGATGAAGACCTTCATTTGTTGAAACCATTTTTTCAGTCATTTTGGAAACACTGGTATCAAATGTGCAGATTTAAATTCACACAAAAAAGCAAAGGAAGCATCATAAGTGCTACTATTATAATGTTCAAAAAGGCCATTTCAGTTGGACAGATTGCATCATGGAGAAATGACTGTGGAAATGTTTATAGGCCGTTGACTGCCCTGCCATTGCATTCCTACAACACTGCTCCGATATTTATCTTGTAAATGTGGATTTGGAACGAGTGAGAGTCATAAAACCTGATGTGCTCTGTGTTTGTCCATGAACATAGGTGTGAACGACATTGTGTGTTGTCTTACATGTCCGTTCAAAAGGTTAATTTAGTGAAAGGAGATCAGAGCAGAACGACTTTATCATTACTTCAAATTTCAGGGCATGTGCCCAGATTGTCGACAATAACACATTTCATAACTGTTTCCCTGCAATATTTGAAGAAAATGTTTCCTCAATTCTAGACATAATGGTAGCTGACAAGCAGATTTGAGCAACATGCAGGTTTTTTCTGTTAGCAATAGAAACTGTAGAGAACCAGGATTATTTCATTATTTTTCTTTTCTCAGTTATCATCTGCCAGGAATCATAACATCTCTTCTCTGGTGTTGTTCCTGTATTACTTACAGTTGAATAGGGAGGTCCGTGGTATTCTCCCAGGTGGGTTTCATTCCCAGATACTAAATTATTGCTGACGTTTTGGCAGCAAATTGAGGGAGAATACTTTCTATCTTCCAGATTCTGGACTCCTTTGTCCCTTACTTTGAGTTTGAGACTAGTGTTACATTTGTTGTCAATACAGCTGGACAGAATTGGTCTTCTGGGACGAGGGATTTGCCATGTTCGTAGAACCATGCTGCAGCCATATGGCTTGGGCTGTCCCTATAAACCCTGATAACTAATAATGTCCCAGGGTGCCCGGTGTGACTACATACTAACACATACAAACAGGTGCGTGCTCGTTGATACCCATGCCAAACGACCTCATCTTCAGTCGTCTGCACAGACACACATTCACACGTTGAACAAACATATGCGGGCATTTTTCATTTGGCAAAACTGTAATTAGCCGCCCGCTTCTGAAAGACGGAGCGGAAAGAGAGAGAGAAAGCAGCAGGAGGGAAGAACTGGGGAGAGGGAGGGTTATGGTGAAAGAGAATGATAAATGATGGATGGAGAGAGACCCCAGGGTTAGCAGTGTGAGGGAGTTACAGCTGGCTAGCTCATTCCGTGGAGCTAGAGATCTCATAATAAACATCACATGGGTAGTTTGGGCTGCCGGGTGCAGATTAAGCCAGAGCTGTTAGCTCTTTAAAGACTGCTCAATGTTGCAGGCAGCCATGGACCTATTTATAGGCTGGCTGGAAGTGTATCAAAGCAGGTAGGAAGGGAAGATGCTGGACAGGCACAGTATTCAAGCTGATTTATGTCCCTCAATCAGTGTAATAACAATAAACTGTCAACTAACACACCACTTTTATTTGTAATTTATGGCACTGCGCTCCTAATAAACCTTTCTTTATTTCTCCCCTGTCCGTTCCTCCTCCTCCTCCGCTTCTCTCTCTGTCTCTCTCTCTCCCTGTGTCTCTCTGCGCAGAGCTGCCCAGCAGTCCAGGTGGTCAGTTCACATTTCGCCCGCTGCCCCCGCCGCCCCCGCCGCCCCATGCCTGCACTTGTGCCCGTCCGGCGCCCTACACTCAAGTCAGCCTGCAGAGAAAGACCATGCCAACGCGGTGCCAGTCCAGTCAGGGCAGCCAGGGGGCAGACACCAGCTCGAGCACAGACCAGGCACAGCTTCACAACAGCTGGGTGCTCAACAGCAACATTCCCCTAGAGACCAGGTAAGAGAATACAGCAAATGACCGCCAGATGCGTTCTTTAACGTTGTCATTATACTGTTTTTAATGTTGTTTTTTTAACAAAGAATTGAGATGATTTAAAGAGTTTGAAAGTAACGGGGGGCTTCTTTCCAAAATGCTTACAGTCTGTAGCAGCAATAATGTCATTTTGCAACGAAACCCTTCAAATGAAAAATATCTTCTAGGCAAATTGCCCTGCTTCAGCGCAGTGTCACTTGATTAAAGACATTTTCTTTAATCTCACAAATGAGGATCGTTGGATTAAAGTGAGAGTTGGCAGACTCTCGTAATTTCTTAGAGAAATCAGAGTCAAATGATTAAGAATGAATGTTGGACTAAAAGATTTGGACATGTTTTGCACGTGTAGAAAGGAGTAAGTGGAACACCAGGCAGGCCTCTGGGGTATTATTACAGGACTTTGCAAACCATCAAAGTCAGAAAGAATCTCTCGGGTTTTTTTCAAGTTCTTTTCATTCTCTTACCCCCCACTGACGACAGATTTACCAGGGGACCAGCATGTGAGTTTGTAACAGCTAATAACCCTGGAATTCAGTTTCAAGTGAAATTACTCTCTTCAGGAACACATTGTTATTCAATCTCCAAGCGTATCGCCTGACATAAAAATACTGCCAAATGCTTAAAGCCGCTGGAATTCCATCCCATCAAACAGAATGCAGCATTTCCTTCCCGCAGAAGTAATAATTGATCAGAGAATTATTTAGGAGATACTCATTTGTGAGGCTGCAATAAGAAGCAGCAAGGTGCATAAGAACGTCTGCATGTTTAATGAGAGCTGTGTGCGGCAGCTGAATTCTGGTATCATGAGTGAGGGTGAGATTGGCAGGCTGCCCCGACAGAAGAAGATGCTTTAATAAGTTATGCATTAGGCCATAATTAGATTTTACCTCATTTAAAAGAGAGGAAGAATAAAATTAGATCCAGTGACTATTTAAATTAATCATGGAGCAGACATGAAACTTAATGTAAAAGACTTGTCAGAAGTGTGTCGTAATTACATTACTCACGTGTGTGTTTGCTTTCAGTGGCAATCCAACATAAACACAATTCACACGTCTTTTTTGGTCTCAGATCGTTCAAAGAATATTTGCTGAACATAAAGAACTCGCTCCCAAAGAGAGATGTGATTATAAAACTCAATTTCCGCAGTGGCTCCGTATATTGGATGGGGGCCTTTTTTGTCGTAATACATTTTTGCATTTGGGAGTTTATAGTCAAATAAGTTTCATTTGATAGGGCGCTATTAGTTCTGAACCATAAAATGTAATTATATTCATAGTCAATAGAATAGTATCCCTTCGTAACATAATTCATATATTATTGGCCCTTTTCTATCTAGCTTTCGGTGGGTTGAGGACTAAAAAATGACTTCACTGCTTAACAGATTTCGCTTGGATTTAATATTCCAGCGCTCTCCTCTCTCTTCTCTTCACTTTCTCAGACACACTTCTAATCCAAAGATTTCATTTTTAGCTCTTACACTGATGCAGCTGCTATCAGCCCAATCTAAGGCATGAGATTAAAGATTTATCAAGTATTTACAAACTTGGCATGAGGGCTCACACCAGTAGAATTCTAATTAAGGCTGTGACCTTAATAAAAATGAGTAGGGCAACAAAAAAAAAGAAGGATATCTGTTGTTGTCAGGTACACTTCAGCTTTCCGGGATGTGTATTTGATGAATCTGTATTGAAATGTATTGATGTTGTGACAGCAGAGATTAAGATTGTTTGAAGTGTGCATAGATTTCCTTTTCAGCTGCATATCCGTTATGTTTCTGGAGAGGGCCGGCCTGTATAAGTGGCAGGATACAGATATGGATATTCAATATATCTGACCGGAGCTCACACTGGGTGTGTTAAGAGGCATAACAAATGTTGGGACTGTAAGAAATTGACTGGTGCCCTGCCTTATTTCCTCCCTCTTATCGCTGAGAACTGAGACTACTTGGGATCTTACACTGTGCATGTGCAACTACACACCAAACTCAACTTGTACACACACACACGCATGCACACACACAATATCTGCATGTACCTGTACACTGAACACAAAGGGCTCCACCTACACACAAACAGCTACACACCTGTACCCAGGTAGAGACAGCCTTTGGGCGCTATAGTCTCCGACCTCCTGGAGAGTGGGAACTCTCATTTTCTTCTTATCTCTGGGGAAATCTGCCCTCTGATATGAATTCAGAGCTTCCTGGGCGTCGCCCCTGGATATTGTCTGTGATGATCAAAGGCAGGGAGCCAGGACGAACACTGGAGCCTTTTTTAAAAGCACCTCAAAAGGAGACAAGAGTTCCATACGCTTTGACAAATGCAATTTCTTCAGATGGATTCTGATCCCTTTTGCTCTAATCCACCTTCTGCGGAGAAATAAATGCACCACAGCGGGCACGACCTGTGTACTGGCCTCAAAAATGTGAAAACACTCACCCTGTTTGACATCTCTTTGTGTATGCTTGTCCTGTGAGGGCATCTGAGCGCAGAGTTATGTTTCCATATGTGTGTGTGTCGGTGTGTGTCGGTGTGTGTGTGTGTTTGCCCCAAGTTTATTATCTGGCCTCACAGAGTTGAACTACCATTGACCCTTAGGTGTGTGCTTGTTCCATGTGCATCCTCCTGTGTCCCCCCCCCCCCCCCCCCGTCTGACTCACAGCCTTCAGCAGACACTGGATGCGGAGATGAGAGGAGGCAAACAGGGAGAGATGGATGTCATCTGTCTTTCATGTTAAACACAGCCACAGGGCCACATCATAGACAGACGGAGAGCTGGAGGAACACACTGAAACAAATAGGGGGTGGGGGGGTGGGGGTCAAGTAAATAAAGTAACAAAAACACACAGAAAGCAAAAAACACATCTATCTTACCCCAAATGAGGTCTATAGTTGACTTCATATAAAAGAATGGTTAGAAAAAAAACGCCGTCAGTGTGCTGAGATTTTCTTTGTACGTCAAAATTGTTGTTTCTTTCTTATTCCATTTCCCAATTTTAATTAAATTTAAGTCTTTTTGTGTTGCTCTTAAGCCTCCTTTGCCTAATGTAAAGCACATTAAATTGCCTCTTTGTTTAAAAAGTCCTATAGAAAAACACTTGCCTTGTCTAACCTTGAAATAATTCCATCCGTTCCCTTATATGCAAATCACGACGTTCCAAGAATTTTCATGTCATTTGCATGACAAAAGTGCCACCACCTGCTTTCCCCTCTCGTACATCATAGAACCAAAAACTTAGTTCGCAGAAGAATTCTTGAAAGTCTCAGCCCAATGGCACAATTTAGCTCTTCTTTTAAGGCGACATCCATCTTCACGGCTGCATATGAGGCTAAATGACTTGAGAAGATGGATGTGTTTTTGCCGTGTATGAGGGTAAATGGATGAGGAACAGGGCGGGTGCAGTCTGGTGTCCTAAGACAGTGTCAGTCTGCTGTCTGGCCCCGCTTTAATGGCCTGTCCTCTGAGGGCTCTTCAGAGACCGCCTTCCAACCAGCAGTCTGTGACCTCACCACCTCCGTGCACGGACAGAATAACTCTCTGGCAAGCCGCATGTCTGTCTCCACATATCGCACTCGCTGCCGGTATTAACCCTCAGAGAGCGTGTGGTAACCTGGGGCAATCATTGCTGCCGGAGAACTCCAGGAGCTCCAGGATATTTTTTTGTTATAGAAAATGCATACACACTGCAGAGAGAGAAAAAACAGTGATTCATCCCTGTTTTTTTTTTGTTTTTTTTTTACCTCAGATGTTTTTTTTCCCCAGTAAAACCATTCTTTGTTTGCCTGCACCAGCATCCTTTGTTCACTTTCTGATGGAAGTCAATACGGTCGGAACAAGCCTGCAACGGCCTCTAATTGCCTTCCCAGATTCACTTTTCCAAATTGCATAATTTCCAAGCCCCCACATCTCTGCTTCCTCATCTGACACCCTCCAACTGCCTCCATTATCCAAACACAGTATAGATGAAATGCTACCTCCATTAATTGCCCCTCAGCTGAGTCTCCTATCATCATCCACCATCTACGTTCTCTTTTTTTTTTTTATAATGAAAATGAACCTCATCTTGGTTTAACTAATACACCCCATATAACTTAAGTAGTCGCTTTGATGAGTCAAAAAAAAGGGAATAGGTAAGTCATTGATCTTTGGCTGCCAGGCTTTTTCATTCTCTTTCATATCAGTGCTGCTCTGCATTACAGTCCCTGCTCATAATGTTGCACCAGAGAAGCACTTTGTCAAATTTGGGCTCCCTCACTGCTGAAGGACTCGGAATAGAAAAGAGTTTCGCTTTATATTCTGTGGCCAATGCAGTATCTTCAGCGTGCTGTGGGTGTATCATGCAGCAGTTTGTTTCCTATTGTTTAACTGGTTGTAGTTTACTAAATGGGAATAATATCTGTGTCTTACATTTGTCCAGAGTTTTCTCATAAAGTTGGGAATTTATAGAGGAGCATAATATAAATTGCAAGAGGAATCGTAGCTCTCAGGGACTTTCTTTGACTACTTTCTTTCTTGATTTGAGCTTTTAGATGAATCTTTCATGATGCATTACTTGCAAGTTTTAAAGACCACTTAAATTAAAAGCAGACAAATGTAGACAAACATGTGGGATATTAAAGGTTTAACTGAATTACTTAGTTCTAGGCAGCACTGAGAGCTTTTAGGACTGTTGAGGTTTAGGAGGACTGTATCATTATAAATTGGCAAAGTGGAACAGCCTGTCCTGTGTGTGATATCTGAATCCTGGGCCAGACTTTGTGCTTCATTTAAAAAAAAACAGGAGTGGGGTCTCCTCTAAAATCCCCCACCTAGGGGGCCCTTTAAATGAGTTTCAGTCAGGCGTACTTCAGAGTGAGACTGAATTCCACTGAGTGCAGATTTGCATAAATAGAATCAGAATAAGGTAGCAGATACCTTGGAAAAGATGATGTGTGTGCAAGCTAAGCTAATTGGCGAAGGATTGAAACACTGTCCTAGAGAGTCCTGGACGCTAACTTTGAATGTTGTTTAAATTCAAGCTAAAATCTGCTTTATAACAACACAAAAACAGTAGTCCCAGAGTGGCAGGTGGTTTGTGGAGTGGCTCCCGTAGACCGAGGACAGCAATTAGCTGTTCTTTTGAGAAACCCAAAACAGTAAATGTCTTATCATGACCAAAGATTTCTCCATCAGCCCAAAATGCTCTGCACAGGACTGAACATAGATACTGTAAGATTTAAAAGTGAAGTAAATTCATATATTTGAGTTAATCCATGTATTTAAGTTTAAGTGAAAAATAAGTTAACATTTATACAGTGAACTATTTACATATTTGAGTTTACAAAGTTAATATATAGTTTATTATATATATATCATTATAGTTAATGATATATTTACATGTTTTAATGTTTGCAGTAGCACCTAGTAACTGTGACCAAATTCTATTGAATCTACCTCTGTGTTTGTCATAATGTTTGCCTTGAGTTTAATCATTCTAACCTCTGATTGGCTAATGACGGGACATGTGATGAAGAACAAGGAAGTGTGGGTGTTGTGTAGCAGAACAATGTGGATGACAGTAAAGTGCTGCTGAGAAAGTTATCCGTCTCCATCCTTCTGTTTCTCTTAACTAGAGCGATATATCCACCACACATCGGACCCTCACGTTACAATACTTAAAAGGTCAGGGGTGGGGTCACATTTTCTAGGCTTTACCAAACACAACGGATAAAAAGGAAGAAAGGAATGGATTGAACAGTGTGTTTATCTGCTTTGAGATCAGCTGCAATCACTAGCATGTCTCTCTGACTAGCTCAATACACATAATAGTAATCGAGTCAGATTCCCAAGGCCAAGTGCATCAATACCTAGTTTGAGTGGGTAAGCTTGATTCTGTAAGAAAAAAACAAAACATTTGTGTCTTGGACTTCCAATTGTACTTCAAAGCTCCTAATCAGAAGCTGTATGTGTCCGGCTCTTTACTGGATTGGGGGAAGTATACGACCAGAAAGCCCAGATGTATCTACCAAAAACATAATCACAAATTAAAAATGAAAACATTTTAACAAGCGGGTTCAACAGCCTGATAACTTTAGCATTGTTTCTTATAGAGGCATTCAGTACTGATAGGATAATGTAGCTCTAAACCACAACAAAAGAAACATGCTTCTCTTTTCATTTTGAAGACTTTATAGTACAGTGTAGTCTCATGTATCAAATACCTTATTTGAAAGGGAGACAGCTGAAGACAGTCAGTGGGATACTTACCTATATGTTAGCTTAATTAGCTAGCTTGTTACAGCTGATACAACCAGCTAGCAACAGTTGGCATTTCAGCAGCCACAATCAAATGTGGATGGCTCAAAATGAGAGTTCTGCTTTTTTCCTCTAAATCATAAATTAATTGTTTCAACAATCACTTAGGACTCCAGTGGTAAATCATCCACATTGTAAGGTATTTAACATACAAAAGAGTAACAGGGGTAGGAACAGTAGCTCGGGGTAAACTTAACAGTCATGTGCAAGAGTTTGAAATGTCATCTTTTGTTTCTCCCACAGACACTTCCTGTTCAAGCAGGGCTCTGGTTCATCAGCTCTCCTGTCTGGGGCCGGGCAGGGTTACCCCCTGACGTCTGGGACTGTGTACTCCCCTCCACCCCGGCCTCTTCCTCGCAGCAGCGTGACCAGACCACTGTTTACCTTCAACAAGCCTCACCGCTGCTGCAACTGGAAGTGTACAGCCCTGTCGGCGTCGCTGCTTACGCTCACCCTCGCCCTGTTGCTCACATACGTCATTGGTGAGTTACAGAATTCACAAGAACTTCCCTGACCACAAGTTTGTCATGTGTAGCTCCATTGTTGCTTCTTTTAGGTGCTGATTTTATTTAAAGAATCAAGATTTTCTAAAAAGTTGAAAGATGGGCCAGGGAATTGGGAGGCTTGACGAGAGACTGCCTAATTAATAAAAAAAAGAATCAATAAATACAGGCAAAACCGAGCAGTGTGTTTTACACACACAAAATGTTGTTGGCATCAAAGGGAGACAAATAAAAGAAGGGAAAGAGGAAAGAGAAGGTCATGCATTCTAAATGTGACCCTTTAATTGTAAGTAATTATATACTAAAACCACCACATTAACTCGTTCCCCTTTTCTGTCTCTCTAACACACACACACAAGTATACAAACACAAGCTATTCTCTTTACACCTCTGTCAGCGTGATTTAAATGTTTTAACATCTAAGATTGTTTACGCTTATGGACTTTAGGCAGGGTTGGTAATTTTGGAAAACTAGAATGATTTTGAAAGTAGCATTCCCTCAGTGCTCCGTCTGCACCCAAGCCCCTCCCCTCTGTGCTCCCTCAAAAGCCACGCCCCTCACTTACATGCACAAGTGCTGTTGGTCCAGAAGTGGAGCTCAGCTCTTACTTTGAGTGTGGGCTCATGCATGCATGGGGTAGAGAACGAGCAGGGAGACAGGGAGGCGGGATTGGTTCATAAAAATGGCGGCTCGTGCAGACATTGGTCGAAGTTTTTCTAGGCTTACAACTGCTACAGATGACAGACTTTTTTCAGTCCTTTTTCAGAGCGAATGAGTTATTAATGTCTGTCAGGACATCAAGACAATTTCAACCAAAATCTTAAAAAGTGTATCTGGAGAAAATTACCAAACCTGCCTTTAAATATTTGTGCTTTTAAAAAAAAAAAAAAAAGTTTTTTGTATCTATAATATTTCTGACATTGTGTGGAGATCAATGTCAGTTTTCATGATTGATACTAATTAAGAGACTATTAAACAAATCAAGAAAGTTATTAAAGTCATTTCACTTGATAGATGATCAGCAGAGTTTTTCAAAGTTACAAACACATTCATGTATTGATCCGTATGATTGCACCGATGTCCCTGTTCCTTCTCAACCTTGGCCCGTCGCTCAACCTCAACACATCGTCTCTTCTCCGCTGCCCCAAAGTGCAGATATCACAACCCTCCAGCCAGCCGGTTCATTTCCCTCCCGTGGTGGTGCTCAAGGTCACGCGGGAGCAGCGGGGGGTTCACATTAATCACACACACACACAGACACGCACACGCACACGCACACGCACACACACACACACACACACACACACACACACACATCACACATCACACATCACACATCACAGACATCACACACACAGTGGTGAATCCATGCAGATTAATCCCCAGGCTGAACCATGCTATTCCATTAATGTCCCGGCCTCGGTAATTAGTGCATTAGTGAGGAGTGTGAGTGATGACTCGGAGACGACATCACCTTTTAATTGGTGTCATGCTCCAGTCCTGCTTGGCAATGATCGATCTGCATGTTGACATCACCATGGCAACTCTACCAAGACTTATGGGATGTAGGCATAGATGATATGTTAGCCTGTAAATCAAAGATATTCTAATAGTGAGATTAAAGCGGTCATGGACTTAATGTCTTTGTCTAGGGGGAGAGGTTGAGACACAGGCCACGAGATGATTAGGTTCCCTCATTACATAATGATTCAGTCATTTTTATGAATTCATTAACAGCCATGCACAAAAAAAAAGGGTTCTCCTCCAGTAGTTTGGCACGGTTTCATCTTCATCAAATAATATCCATGTTTACTTTCGCTGTATTTACAGATTTTGACTCTGTGTCTCATTAGAATAGGTTCTTATTGAAGATTAATTATTATTATCATAGGAATTATAAGAAGAAACAGAATAAATAATATCCAGTGTTTAATATATGATAATGAATGATCCTTAATTCCAAATATAATCAGCTCCTTCAGGGGATTCTACTGTGCCCGGGCGGTTGTGCATATTTATTGTTATTGTCTTATTGAAGAGGCTTCTTTGTGGATTTTTTTGAATGGATAGTGACTTTCTTTTTCTTTTCTCGTATCCATTACACAAGTCAATAATGTGATTAGTAAGGAAAAATTAGTTTTTAAGTGAAAACTCCTAACGCTCAGGCTAAACTATCTGTCTGATATCTTGTGAATGAAAGGATTATGGGTAAATCAAGGCAATTATGAAAAGATAAAAATTATAGAATAGTCCTCATTTGCAGCCTTATGTATTTGCATTAATAGTTTTTTATTTGATCCTGCAGTAGGTGACTACTGTGTGTGTTGCATGTCAGCATGATTCTGCAGACACAGCCAACTTCACCAACACGTCTGCGTGTTAGAAAAAAAACCCAAAACATATTCCTTTATGGTCGTGCCAAGCTGGAGTCCAACATTTCACATAGCTGGAGATGCTTCCCCCTCTTGGTGAAAGCCATTTTTAACACAGCTGTTGTTTTTGGCTGAATCTTCATCTTTACTCGTGATGCTGCAGCCATAACTGTACACTTCCTTCTGCAGTCGACCAAGGAGCAGCACGTTACTGAGCTGGAAAACTGATCTCACATGCTAAGTGGAGGCACAGATTGACCGAGAGTGAACCAGCAGATCCTGATGTAGCTCCTAATATCTGAAACTGATCATTTGTAGCGAATCCTCTTACCCCGACAGTTTGGACAAAATGTTCAATATCCACCTTAAATGACTGTCAGGCTTTAAAGCGCTTTGTGAGTTATAAGACTTGTTTATTGATTTTGGAGGGGAAATAAGTCACCCAGCAAATAATGAGGCAATAATATTAAGTCTCAAATTAAGGTTTCAAATTAGCACAACAATAGGACGATGCATGATTGCAGAGATAATGCTGTGCCTAAGTGATTGCTGCGTATGCCCCCTGTTGTTATTAGCTAAGGCAGGCCTCCTCTCTGTCTTTACTGCCCTCTTTCCTCTCCTCCCGCACCCCCCGGTGTTTCAGGGGCTGCGAATAGCTTTGTTAATTTGTTTATCTCCCAACGTACCCCTCCCTCATGCAGTCGTAGCTTGTTATTAAGCACAACACGGCCATCAGATATGAGCAGCAGGCATTATGATAGCGAATGGGGCATTTAAGGAGAGATAGAGGACAGATTAAGATTGCATCGGTAATCTTGAAGAATATTGCTTCTGACAACATTACCAGTAACTCATTTTATATTCTAAGCCTCGTTTAGGTTCTGCCTCCATAAAAACCTACCTGCTATTGTTCTATCATGCTGTCAGAAAAAGGCTAATTAGAGTGTTTTCTGCATTAATGAACGTCTTGCTGATTTAAACAGTTACAACCCTCGGCTGTTGAATCCAATCTGAGAAGAGGGCGCGATGTGTCGGTTTCTGAAAGATAATCATCTCTATGGCAACAGGAAGAAGCTTTTGACGCAAGTGAAATGAGCAAGTCAGCGGCACCCTGCAATCAAATGATCACCTCCAAATCACATTTCGGCACACACAGCAACACACACGGTGCAGACGTAAAGCTAGGATTCTCTGTATCTGCAGTGTGAGCCGCTTCAGGGGACCTGGCGGTTCCACGAAGAACCAAATGAGTCATTAGTGGCTTTAAGTTCATTATTTTCACACAGGCTTCCTTCAGTAAATCTGCTTTCACCGTTTGATGGCAATTCAGAAGCATCTGCCTCTGAAATTAGCCATAATTCACAGGGGTCAGACTCAGTACAGTCTCCAATTGAACCCAAACAAAGACAGATGGCGTCTCTGGCTGCTGATTATTATTATCTATAAATCTGCAGAGGAGGCTCTTGTTTTTTGGTTTTCTAATGATCATGATGCCTTCATATCATTTTTGTTAAAGACATTCAGTTAGCAATACTCAAAGACAAAAGAATATCTATTACATAAGAAGCAACGAATAATAGACGTTTGAGTAAATAGAATGAGGTGAGGGCTGCAGGGTCAGAAAATCAGTCAGAACAATGATGTGAAGGAAGGAGCAGGGGCAGAGGTTAAATTGCAAATAAATAAATGACTGTGCAGGTTATTTGCACACAGAGTTCATGGTAAGAAAAATTGGCAGACTAAATTGAGAATCTGAGGCACTTTGAGGCAGTATAAAAATCCTTTATTTAACGGGGACGTGCCTATACGTTTCCACTCCTTTGAATCAGTTTAGTCTGCCAATTTTTCATCTTGAATTTAGTTTACAAATAACGGACAGTCTTGTCTTTATTTGCAATTGAAATGTCTACTTAAGGATTAACAAATATAATTTAGATTAACATGTAACACATTTTTTTAGGAGCACATAGGGCTGCTTTATATTTTCTACATGGTTATTAATTGACTTATTGTTTCAGTTTTACAGAAAATGTTTCTGAAGCATACAAAAGTGCTGAAATTGTTTTTCAGTTCACGCAATTTAAACTCACAAGAATTTGATGACTAAACCTACTTGGTGAGTTTTTAAATCACAATGACAAACATGTTCTGCTTTTGTATCCTGATGTTGATGATTTACTCTTTAAGATCATTTTACAGTCATTTATATACCTGTAATGATGGGCTTCTTAATTTTAAAATCCACCGAATAGATTGATTTAGTAAATAACCACTGCAGCCCTAATTAAACAAAAATCCTCCCTGAAGTCCGTCACTCCCCCTTGATTCGGATTTCTCCTTCAAATGTCCTAGCAGGCCTCGTCATCCTCGGCGTGAGGCAGATTACAGCTTATCTGTTCTCCACTTTATTGACCAGCCTCCTGACTTACAAGTAAAAGAAACAATTGAAGAGCTCATGAGTCAACCACACACAATAAACCAAGCAGATCTCTACTCTTCTTTAATGATGTCATTAGTCATTAAACTTAGGTCAACTGATAAGACAACATGAATGTATGGAGACTATAGAGTTGTTGTTGTAAAATACATTATTTTGTATTATTGTC